GTAAAGCAGTAAGATATCCAGTACATTTAGTGTTACAACACAGTGCTGGGTTATGTAATAACCTTATAAATATAACGTTGTCTCTCTGAGAGTAAGGACGAGTAAAACATAATGCTAAAATTGCCTATCTGTCTAGAAAATAGATAGGAGTATGGACACAGCGGTATAATGTAAAACATGACGCTAGTACTTAACGTTATTTCTGGTAGCGTTATTTTTAGATGTGTACTTTTAGAATAAAACGGTTTTAGAATAAAACGGATGTCCTCCGTGTTTATAATAAACACGGAGGACACTTGAACCACTAATGGCCACAAAACCAAAACCTAAAGTAGAATGTCTAGAATATTACGTTATGTTCCTCCACTAAATTCCTTGTCTAAGTAGAACCCCGGGGTCAGTGAGATATGTACCGGAACACAGTACGTCTGGTATATAAGTAAATATGTGCTGATTTCCACTTGTTGGCACCGAGCTGATAATGTCTGGTCTCCGGTCACATGACCTCCCACCAGCTCTCTGGTTGGTCAGATTGGAGACGCTCTGTGATTTCATTGGCCAGATTCGATGGGATGAACTGTTAATCGTTCACCAGAAAGAGAGACATGCTCAGACGTAAAGGAGTTACCGTGACCACAGAGTTACCATGACAACCAGGGAAGAATGACTGAAGTTACACGTGACCAGATGACGTAATATTACAGGATCTGTGGTGGAACTTAGAAGGGTGAGAGAGGGAGAGGGAGCGAGGGGGTTTATTATTAGATTTTGAAATGACTGGGATAGGATTACATGTAATTAAAAAAGAGAACCAAAGAGAGTGTGAGATGCAGGTTAGTTCAGTGTAACAGTGGGCCTGCTGCCAGGTCCTATGTAAAGGCTGCAGGGGGTGTGAGATGCAGGTTAGTTCAGTGTAACAGTGGGCCTGCTGCCAGGTCCTATGTAAAGGCTGCAGGGGGTGTGAGATGCAGGTTAGTTCAGTGTAACAGTGGGCCTGCTGCCAGGTCCTATGTAAAGGCTGCAGGGGGTGTGAGATGCAGGTTAGTTCAGTGTAACAGTGGGCCTGCTGCCAGGTCCTATGTAAAGGCTGCAGGGGGTGTGATATGCAGGTTAGTTCAGTGTAACAGTGGGCCTGCTGCCAGGTCCTATGTAAAGGCTGCAGGGGGTGTGATATGCAGGTTAGTTCAGTGTAACAGTGGGCCTGCTGCCAGGTCCTATGTAAAGGCTGCAGGGGGTGTGATATGCAGGTTAGTTCAGTGTAACAGTGGGCCTGCTGCCAGGTCCTATGTAAAGGCTGCAGGGGGTGTGATATGCAGGTTAGTTCAGTGTAACAGTGGGCCTGCTGCCAGGTCCTATGTAAAGGCTGCAGGGGGTGTGATAGGCAGGTTAGTTCAGTGTAACAGTGGGCCTGCTGCCAGGTCCTATGTAAAGGCTGCAGGGGGTGTGATATGCAGGTTAGTTCAGTGTAACAGTGGGCCTGCTGCCAGGTCCTATGTAAAGGCTGCAGGGGGTGTGATATGCAGGTTAGTTCAGTGTAACAGTGGGCCTGCTGCCAGGTCCTATGTAAAGGCTGCAGGGGGTGTGATAGGCAGGTTAGTTCAGTGTAACAGTGGGCCTGCTGCCAGGTCCTATGTAAAGGCTGCAGGGGGCCCTCAACCTACCCACTTCATCTCACTACCATCTGACCAGCTTAGCAAGCATTACGGTATTACCTGTACACGTTTGAAATGGCTCTCTTGTACACTACAGCATCAAGACAAGAATTCCAGAAACCATTTAAAATTATTCAAGATATCTTAGTGTCGCCAATATATTGAGATCCGGATCTTCAATTTACTATTTTAATGGCCCGATCTGGATCAATGTATCTTTCTGGCTGGCAACCTCATTAAATTAGTACGTACAGTTGAGAATAGTCCTGAAATGCGTCCACTAAACTGGATTGAGCGCTCTCTTTCGACTACCTTCTGACTAGCCGTATGTCATTAATGTGACCGATTCAAGTAAACATCGGACTTCTATCTTGGAATAATCCCGTATCCCTTATGGGAGACTCAGGACAAAACTATTAAACGAGTATTGAACGGCTCTGCACAAAGGGATTTTAAAATATCCTGTGTAAGTGAAAAATTTAGGGCTATTCAAATGTGTCTAATTCAAGGGTCGAGAGAGACAAATCATTTGTTTACAAACGTCATAACCAACGCAAATTTCTAGAAGATCTCCGAAGGAAATTGTAATGAAGTGTCAGTCTATGATAGCTGAGTCCGTCAATAAGAGAATTACGGATCACGGTTCACTTGACTTGGCATCGCACTTGACCAATGTCCGTCACGGGTCGGTATCACGACTGGGACTCCAACTTCACGGGTATCTGGAACCAGGGCCTGGCCCCAGAGAGGGATGAAATAACTGATGAATAAATATAACCAATTATATAGTAGTAATGAGTTTATAAGAGTTTATCTGTTTTACCTCATCATTACCCGGGTCCTGTTTGTTCCATTTTGAGGGTGACACTAAGTCCCGCCCATTCCGGGAACTCATGAATAATCTCATGAAATGAGATGTGAAGAGATGATACAGAGCTACTTGAGCTCACAGTCCGCTGGCAGGACCCGGCTCACAAGCTGCGAGCTGCTTGTCAATGCGACCACCAATCCTAAACCAGAACACCTCCCACGTGACTTTCTCACACTACAGCGCTAACTCCGTAACCACAGACCACGTGACTAGATCTGGTCACGTTATGGGGGGACCGTGGTCAGGTGACGCTACAAGACGGACTATCTGCGCTCAGGGGGGCAGCTAGCAATTACAACATGTGGTGGGAAACTCAACATGCACAGCACAGTCCAGCCCCTCCCCCTCCAATCACAAGCAGGAATATCCTGCACGTGCAATCAGGCAACCAATCAGAAGCGTTCATTGCATGTCACGTGACACACGCGCCCCAATCCCTGCAGAGGTCGGCTTAAGATGAAAAGCTTCTTAAAGGAGGACATGTGTATCGCGAATCTGAGAGCCACGGGGCATCAAGCAGGTGTCCAGTTCTCTGAACACCTACTTGTCCGTACATCTCAAAACACACTGGTCACGTGAAACGTGTCATGTGTCCCTCAGATGTGTTCTTGCCAGCGATTTTGGCACTGGATACACAGGAATATATATTTGTCCCAGTGTAGATACACAGGAGGGAAGCTAGTAAGAAGCTAATGCGGTAAGACTGCAGGATGGAAGGTGAGCGGAAAGAAAGGGCCACTAAAGTTGGAACAGAACTTATTGTCACGACCAGTCTGTGTATGTGACCACGAGACAGCGTGTAACTGTGTGTGTGTTGCTGTGTGACTTGTCAGTGTAATAATAACGCTCTCCGGAGATCACCACTCAAATTATTCTAAATAATTCTTCCGAGTCAACAACAGCACGTTTAAAACGCGACACGAACTGCGGTGACGGACATTAAGCAATTTGCTTTGCCATGCAAAATATAATTTTGTCACATAAGTATGACCTGCGTAGATCAAAGGCTCGAGAAATTTCGCGATTTGTTACTAAGCATCCCGGGATTTTGAGCTTATCGCGTGTTCAAATTTAGACCTGATTTTAAAACGGCATGCTTGACAATAGCGTCTCTCTCAAAAACAGTGGACCATTTCTGTGTGTTAAACTGAATTAAACTGAATTAACTTAAAGCAAGTCACTCAAGTTTGTAAGGAGACGTAAACCGGGAGTTTAAAACCCCCTCCCTCCTTCTCCATGTTAGTTACAACATGTTTAACGCCTGACAACGTCCCCACATGTGATCTGTCATGTTGTAAACGACACAACTCCAGTACTCGACTAAACTCATCTCAAATTATGATATATCACGAAAAAATATTTCTTACTTTAAATTTCATTTGTAATTTTATCTGGCAAGGCAGGTCTAATTACAGTAATTTTCAGGGGCGCACAAAAAAGGGAAGATAATAAATATTGGATTTATGTGATATGATCAGTGAGGCTGTGGTGCCAGGCGCTTCAGTGTGCACTGACTCCACTGACTGGGTCCCACATTATCACATCTTCTCAGTGTGTATCACCAAAGGCTGTGCATTTCACACAGACGTGACCTTGTCACTGGTGACCTTGTCACTGTGACCTTGTCACTGGTGAAGCGCACTCAGGAACTCAAGAGTGCTAATATTAGACACTAGGTTATCTGGAGAAGATAGAGAGAGGGAGAGAGAGAGAGAGAGAGAGAGAGAGAGAGAGAGAGAGAGAGAGAGAGAGAGAGAGAGAGAGAGAGAGAGAGAGAGAGAGAGAGAGAGAGAGAGAGAGAGAGAGAGAGAGAGAGAGAGAGAGAGAGAGAGAGAGAGAGAGAGAGAGAGAGAGAGAGAGAGAGAGAGAGAGAGAGAGAGAGAGAGAGAGAGAGAGAGAGAGAGAGAGAGAGAGAGAGAGAGAGAGAGAGAGAGAGAGAGAGAGAGAGAGAGAGAGAGAGAGAGAGAGAGAGAGAGAGAGAGAGAGAGAGAGAGAAAGAGAGCGAGGTGCACCTTGCTTATCACTTCATGTTCCCTCCCTCCCACCAACCATGCACCGTCGCACTGTCACGTTACACTGCGCCTCAACACCTCAAACACTTCCAAACCTCAGACATTCTCACATGGCCCTCCCCCTCCCTTCACTCTTTGTGTTTATAGTAGAAATTACGTAGTTTACCGATAAAATATTAGTTTATAATAATACTCCTGACAGAGTAACAGACATCAAGTTATTCATGTTTACAAAGGTGCAAGCGTACATCAACAGACTACAGGCGGTTACATAATAATAGTGAATAGAGGACATTCATCATAATATGGCTATATAAATCATAACAAATTATCATTCGAAAAAAGTTGAACAACACACATGGCATGCTAGACAAGATAAGAACAAGTATCAATTTCTTGTGAATTTATAAACGGCTTAGTCATAGATCTTGAAAATGAAATAGCAATTAAGTCATTTAGACTTACCAATTTACTGATACTTTCAACTGATGTGGATAACTTATCGAAATTACTGTACTGCAATTTCGTAGCATTGTGAAGATTCCCTGAAATTAATTACAGACATTACGTTGGCGACCCGGCATTTTGTATTTAAATACTCCATACACTGGACACAGAGAGAGCAACGTAAACGATATCAGCCATCAGGCCATCCCATCGTAATTATCTTTGGAAACTTTTGCTTTGACTTGTCTAATTAAAGGGATTAAAGAAAGATTTACTTAGCATTAAAGACCAGATAAAATAAAACCACTTAGTGAATGTGTAATGTAAATATTTTACCTAGAACGGGAATATAGTTGGGTTTAAGTAATATATTGTCTGAACGCATGTCACCGTGAGCCAGGGCTATTTTACTACGAGCTCCAGCGTGTATCGTGCAGTGAAGATACGCCAGACCGCTGAATATACACTCGCTCAACTTTTTAACCTGGGGGAGAAGGAGAGTGTGAAGGTACAGGTGTCACGTGTGAGGGTGTCACGTGTGAGGGTGTCACGTGTGATTACATTATAAGGATTGTGATGTACCTGGACACACGTTACTTTCAACATTCCATCACTGCAAAAGTCTGATAATTTGCATTGGACCGTGACAAGCTTGCATCGATTAACGTAAAAATCATAAAATCCAGAGATAAAGGTTATCAAGTAATAAGGTTCCAGGCTGCACTAGGTCCAAGAACCTCTGTTTCCACTTAATAGCTCTGATCTTTTTCAAGTGTTCGCAGGGTTAGACACTACCACTACTTTTTCAGGGCGGACTCTTTGAATTAGAGAGATAAACATGACCATAACAATAATAGTCATTGTAAATATGTCGTGAAAGAACTTAATTAGATGGCGATAGACCGGTTTATAAGATAAGTAATGGAGGGGCAAGCTTGAGATTTAAGTGATATTTACCCAACTCTTGTCAGATCCGAGCTCAATAAGTCTTATGCTCTCAAGCGAGACACCACACACACAACCCACTGGCGTTTAAAAATGGTAATTTCTCTTTTCAGACGAAAAAAGATAAGCGATGACGGGCAAGATATATTATATATGTCTACAGAAATGAAGTTAGAACAACTGAAAGAAAGACAAGTTAAAATGCTCGGTGGGGCTGGCTACCTGCTCAATAGATAAGGAACAGTTCTGTAAAACGTGTGTCAGAGTGCCGACGTAAACATCCCGGTACACGAGCCATGATTTCCTGTGTTTCTTCCCCCACCAAAGTACACTGACCACGTGGGAGTGAGTCAGGGTTACTGAGGACAGGACCCGAGTCTCCCGGGCCCACCTCACTGCACTTGCTTGGTCTGATACGCGAACAGTCAGATTTTCTTCGCCCAACAGAGACACGGAATGATTATTGTTTGTTTGTTTGAGGTGTTTGTTTAGGTGTCGGGGCCGGTACGACCCTAGCCACATCTGATGAGGAAATGAATCGTGGGTACCGCACAGTTGTTTAGTTAAATCTATCTTAGGAGGCTTCTGTCGACGAGCTTCGACCTGAAGGAATAACAAATATCAATAATTGTTGTGGGGAGGTATTGGGGAGTATGTAATGTACGGATTGCTCATCTTTGAACTAAACTTAGCATGTCAAGTAGGAAGACCTCGGGGCGTTGTTGGTAACTTAGCTCGCTAAAATTGAAGAAGAAAATAGCTAATATGTAAATAGTTATTAATGTAAGCTCACATCCTGGTAGATATACGAGTTTCGTCTTCTCCTCCGTTGCAGTAAGACGTAAGCAGCGATGATGATCGCAGCAAGGACCAGTAATGCTGAGAGGAAGGCAATGCACGGTGTGTACCACCAGGCGCGTGCAAGCGGGTCTGGATCCTGTACTCGGGGATCTGCTGCGCATTTGAGTGTCAAGGATCTATAAATTTTCAGATATTTTAAAAATAGTAACATGCTTGTAGCTAAATTAGATGTACAACATCAACATGAATTGCGACCTTGCTTCATAATCATAAAATATTATTGCAAATTGTGTGATAAACTTGCTACTTAGTTAGTCAAACAAGAAAAATTGCACGATAAAAAGCTACTCACAAATGGGAGGGTCGGTGGTTTCAGGGATTTTTATTTCCCCAGGGATTTTATTGCATAGGTCTCCTTGACAGCAGCAGAAATACGCAACTGCGTCTAAATTTGTAACCTGGAAATATAATCCAATGATGTGATTTCTCTTGAAAACATATTGGTGAAGACAATTTGTGTCAGAAAATCCTAACGATTTAATAAGCCAGCCCACCGCATCAATTTTCAGATTTATACATTGTTCAAGGAATTTTATCTACCTCAAGTTTTCGTGGGATGCATGGCCCAAAAGGGCAGTTGTCTAGATGTCTAGTTTCAGCATGGTTCCAGCAGGCCCGAGATGTTAAAACAGCCTCTTTAGCTGTAGGTCCTGTCCAGAGGACACTACAAGCTTTGTAGTTGGAATCACATTGCTTAACAGTATGGTTGCTTTTATACTCGTGTACAACACATCTTATTGCACTGCAAACTGAAATAATAACTTTTAGTGATATGAGACTGATCTAGAATAATCTGGCTGCAGTAGTATTACATTAAATTCAAGGTACACTTAATATAATTTTGAACAATCATACCCTTCATAATGCTACACTTACCCGAAAATTGTAAAACTAATGTTGTGCTAAAACAGAGTAATGGCAAAAGCATTACCATCCACCAGTATATTTGCCATTGAAGATCATCAAACTGTGAAAGAGTTCGGATTACAAACTGCATCTTTTTCGATGGAACACGCAAATAATATTATTTGCAAATAACAATCAGGAATTAATTCAGAATTGAATTCCTGCTTGACAACCATCTCATAATATTATGAAACATTCAACTATTATAAGTGCAGAATATGTAAATATTAAATTGATGTTATTTTAATTCTGACTCTAAGCCAATAATGAGGCGCTGATTCTCCTTTCTAGATTAAGTGCACATAACATTGTTTAGAATAACAATGCCCAAATTTAGATTTAGTTTTAAAGGGTCACCTGCACCCCTTACAGTAAGTTTTGTAATAAAAATGGACAGATACAACAATTAAGCACACACTATCCCAGATATTGCATATCCAATATCTGACTGTGGAAACTTTAAGGGAGATCACAAATTATTCTAGAACAAAAGAAATGAAAGAAACTAAAAATTGAATCTTCAAAACTTTCAATAAAATACCAACAGAAGCACAAAGCAAGAAAAGATACTTCTAAAGAATAACACCAAGTAAGTAGGCCTACAAATTGAGAAACCTTACTTCTATGGTGAGATAATTTGAAAGCTATTTTTCAACAAAGCACAAACATCCATCAAACTCTTTGTTATCATTTGATAGATTGAAATTATCATAGAGTTTACATGGCAGATTTATACATTGCTCAGTAACCAAAATTGAGACTAAGATAATGTTCTTAAATACATGTCACATTAAAAGACACTTCAAAAGACTCCAAGGGTAGTTCATTCAGAAGGTGTAATTCTGAAAAGATCTCCCATATAATGCAATTGTAATGAGCCCTTTATAATAGATACTGGATGGCTAGACTCAGAAACAGGTGAAACGTTTAAAAGGGCAGAGATGAATATTGAACAGGATGAGTTTTGAACAAATGTTCTTAAATACATGTCATGGACCGCCCCTATATCCAATGTCTCCTTCAACCTGATACCTGAGGAGAAGAGCTACGAGGGATAGATGATATCTATTGGCGTATTGCTCAGGATTTACGATTGTGCTCTGCCAATTGCATCACTTGATTTAATTTATTGTATATATAATACTGTTTGACATTTTACTTTCAAAAGTACATGTCACTTTAAAAGACACTTCAAAAGACTCCAAGGGTAGTTCATTCAGAAGCTAAGCTGCAATTCTGAAAAGATCTCCCATTATATAATGCAATTGTAATGAGCCCTTTAGAATAGATACTGGATGGCTATAGACTCAGAAACAGGTGAAAAGTTTAAAAGGGCAGAGATGAATATTGAACAGGATGAATATTGAACAAATAAACGCTTCAGGTCCTTATGCATGGATACATATTAGTGCCATATATTCCTCTTGTCCAGGAGTTTAATATTATAGTACTATCATATTCACAGTACACTACTGATGTACTGACTCCTCCATTATTGTCCCTGAAGTGGGATTATAGAGAATAGTCACCATCCAGGCATAAATATACAGGCACTTCGAGATAGATCTTGTCCCACTCTACTAAGACATCATCTTAGAGGGAGTGGAGCACCAATTGGACCAAGGCGCACTCTATAATATCTACTACTATAATAAGGAAACATCAAAATCACTATATTACGTATTTTATCATTTGATTGTGTACCATACTCCCAAAATTCCAATGTGAACTAATAGAAATTAGTAGAAGTTATTTCAATCAAGAAAACAACAATTTCAAGAAAACAGATTCCATCCTCTAAATTCCACCCTCTAAATCGGTGCATCGAGGTTTGTCTGGATTTTGATATGCATTCAATATACCAGTGGTCAGGCAATTGGAGCTAAAAAGCTTAACTGAGGAACTCCGGTTTACTCGTTTTACAGGCTGTGGTGATCGAGGAGCAAGTGGGGAGAAAATGGCATCGTTCAGCAATGGAAAACATGACCGTTGAATGTTAGCTAATTACCGGTTAAACCTTACATCAGCTCTTGTCATAGAAACAATTATTATCTATTTCTAACAAAATCTATACATTAAAGAGACAGTGATACGATTATGCAACATAATGATCTTTACTAAACTTGATATTTAGCATGGCATAGGAAACTGCCATCTAAAAACACATTGTGAAAGAAGATGAATGAAATTCAACAACTTCAACAGGGAGGTGTTACCTGCTATCAGTTTATATTTAACATGCTAGTCCCAGTAAATCGCCAAGTTTGTTTATTAAGAGTAGTTTCAAAAGAGGGCCAGGGACCGAAACCTATGTACAAAACTAAAGTGCGACAACCACCTGCGTAAACGTAATTAGTTTAGAACCCCCTTAACTCTTGTAACCATTGCTCTATCAAATTAATAGTAAACGTTTTCAATTAAAACGACGGGAAATTTATGATTCAGTCAAGTAACTTCCAGTTATGAATAATAAGCACAATAGAATAAAGATGAATGAGGTATTTACTGGTCAGAAAATTGTTTAACTGAGCAGTTAATTTTGCTATGATCCCCATCAAAAAATGAATTATGCGCGGCTTACAGTAAGTTACTGGGCCGCGCTCAGCCTGTCATTCCGCCTAATCTCTATTTTATGTTTATGAACATAATAGCCTGAGGTCCCCAGATAAACTTGCACTTGTGTGCTGTAACAACAACAATGAACAAAATGCCACTATTTTGTTGCTGATAAAATAATTTAGTGCGCGATACTCTCAACTTCGGAGCGTGTCGTTTGTCTCATTTTCCACACATTTACTGTCACAAAGATGCAGTTAGGCCAAACCAGTTAGGCCTAACGCAGAGCTAAGCCTAAATTAGGCCTAAAGAGGCCTAAATTAGGACTAAATTAGGCATTACTGTCACCAAGATGTTGACGGATGTTACTCGTCTAAATTTCTTCGAAGTAAGCGCGCGCCGCTTCTTTCTCGAAATGGCCCGATGGCAAGTGCTACGAAGTAGCGCGCGCCGGGCCAGATCATTAACAATGGTCAAATTCCAAGATGCAGTTAGGCTTAACTCTTAATTTAGGCCTAATTTAGGCCTAATTTAGGCCTAACTCTGCGTTAGACCTAACTGGTTAGGCCTATTTGCATCTTGGTGACAGTTACACACCAAACACAAAACATTTACCATTCAATTAATGATTAAATGTATAATTTTTAGAATTAAAATATAGTTTTTTGGTTTTGATAACGGCTTTTGTAGCACGTATACGTCACTTGTAGCGCGATGCACTACTGGGTCGCGCGCGCGCATCCAATAATGCTTCTCGCAACCACGTATGCAGATCGGCGAGATGCGAAGGATTGACATCGTGAATCAAATACGTCACTTTTTCCGATTGGCAGTAAGCGCGTGCATGGTGCACTTGTTTTTTCCAAGGCTGCAATTAATTTTAAATTAAACAATCACGCGTGTATGCTGGTCACGTACGTGCGCATATCATTAACTTCCAATAAGCTACAAGCATCCGGCCATCCGCACTGCACTTTTTTAAATGCGATAGAGGTTGTAATTCATTCGACACTCAGCCCGAATAGAAATTTGGCGGACTGACAGGCTGAGCACCGTTTAGTAGGAAAACAAATTTTATTTTAATATATCTAATTTTCAATTTTAATAATATTTTACAAATATCACTTGACATACGTTGCATGCCACTTTTCGCGCGCGAATATATTTGGATACGAAAACATGTATCAAAATATCACCTGTTAATTGTTAGTACAACTCATCGTAATGCAATATTATACATTTTCAAAGCGCAAGCGTTATATTGTAGCGCGATGCGTTACTGTGCCGTTACTGGCTAGATCGGCGAGATGCGCTACTGTGCCGCGCCGAGCTGCCATGAATTGACATCGTCAATTAAACGTTATAATAAAATCCTTCACATAGCCATGTGCCTACGCGTACTGCGTACGGCGGTCGCGCGCTACTGCAAGCGAGAGGGCTCTGGTTAGAGCAAATAAGATCCGTTATGCATGTTGTCTCGGTACTTAATTGTTAATGGTTTAAAGTATTTATATGCATTTTGGCTGTCATGCCGGACTGTTGACAGATGATACAAGTATTGTAGCGCGATGCACCACTGGGCCACGCCGCGCATTAAATAATTCTTCGCGCATCAAGTAATTCTTCTCGGAAGATCGGCGAGATGTACCACTGGGCCTCAATTGACATACGTTGCATGCCACTTTTCGCGCGCGAAGCGCGCGCCGCCGAGGTGCTCCTTCCTGGTGTATCCATAATATCTCTGATATTTGAGATACGTAACATGTATCAAAGCCTGAACGAGCTGCGAAGGATTGGTATCGCGAATCAAATTATACAAATCACAAGTATTTAGTATAAATTTATTCGAAGTAGCGTGCGCCGCTCGCGTTTTTTTCTTGAAATATATTGGCCCGGGGCAAGTGCTACAAAGTAGCGCGCCGGGTCAGTCCATGTACAATGGACATGGGACAACCGTCAACAACTTACTAGTAGAGGCTCTTACGGGCAAAAAGACGTGTTTTCTGCTACGAGTTTAGAGACCTAACCGCTAATTGGACACAATAGTATGATGTCTAAGGATCGATAATATGTTAAGAAGTATAAATTTGGCCTTATTAGTCACGTGCTATACCAATGCGCGTTTTAAACTTTGACAGTCTATTACTCTAAGGCAAATAAAGTAATTATATCCATATTTTGTCAGCAATAAGATCACATTATTTTCTATTTAGTGTGAAAATATGAGCTAGAACGGACATAATCTCGCTGAGTTATAGCTGTTTGAAAGTTATGATGAACGCGCGGGTGCCAATTGATAACAACTAAATGCTTTTGCGCGTAGTGCGCGTCGAAAATTTGGCAAAAACGCTTGCGGAGTGACAATATTCAAACTTCGATAAAGTATATGAAGTGGGTACTTCTCGGAAAGGAAAAATTTAGGCAAACACGATGAAACTATTTTTGGGTTGATTAAATACAACTGCAAAAAATTATTCAAACTTCAAGCAAAAAAGTCAAAATTTTTACCACTTTTTTGGATTTTTACCCCAGAACAAATAGAGGGATTTGTTTTATTTTTATACCATCTTGTGCGGCTGTGTTTTAGCTATCTCCATGCAAGTTTTGCCGACATGCCAACAAAATTAACTTGCTCAAAATATCAAAAAACATGGTTTTTTGGCCTATTTTTGGCCCAAAAATCGGTTTTTTGCAATTTTAACCCAGAACAATCAGTCCAATCATCTTGAAACCACTTTTAATCGATTCTACGGTCAAAAATACGTCTAGTAAGGTGTATCTGGGGTCCCTAGCGTATCGAGCAGACAATGCCCGTAAGAGCCTCTACTATACCTGGGAACCTCAGGCTATTTAATATATATGTAATGTTTATTTATAAACATAAACAATAAATGATAGAGTTGTAGCGTAATGCACTACTGGGCCGCGCCTCGCTAGTTCAAATAATTCTGTTCACAATTCTAGATCGGCGAGTTGCACCACTGGGCCTCGCCGAGCTGCGATTAACGGGTGATACTCGTAAAATATCTGTTCCATATATTGTAGTAGAGGCTCTTACGGGCAAAAAGACGTGTTTTCTGCTACGAGTTTAGAGACCTAACCGCTAATTGGACACAATAGTATGATGTCTAAGGATCGATAATATGTTAAGAAGTATAAATTTGGCCTTATTAGTCACGTGCTATACCAATGCGCGTTTTAAACTTTGACAGTCTATTACTCTAAGGCAAATAAAGTAATTATATCCATATTTTGTCAGCAATAAGATCACATTATTTTCTATTTAGTGTGAAAAATATGAGCTAGAACGGAAATATTCTCGCTGAGTTTTTGCTGTTTTGAAGGTTATGATGAACGCGCCGGGGTGCCAATTGATAACAACCATCTAAATGCTTTTGCGCGTATTGCGCGTCGGGAAAATTTGGCAAAAAACGCTTGCGGAGTGACAATGATTCAAACTTCGATAAAGTATATGAAGTGGGTACTTCTCGGAAAGGAAAAATTTAGTGCAAAAACACGATGAAACTATTTTTTGGGTTTGATTAAATACAACTTGCAAAAATTATTCAAACTTCAAGCAAAAAAAGTCAAAATTTTTACACTTTTGGATTTTTGCCCAGAACAATAGAGGGATTTGTTTTATTTTTTATACCATTCTTGTTGCGGCTGTGTTTTAGCTATCTCCATGCAAGTTTTGCCGACATGCCAACAAAATTAACTTGCTCAAAATTCAAAAAACATGGTTTTTTTGTTGGCCTATTTTTGGGCCCCCAAAAATCGGTTTTTTGCAATTTTAACCCAGGAACAATCGTCCAATCTCTTGAACACTTTAATCGATTTTCTTACGGTCAAAAATACGTTCTAGTAAGGTGTATCTGGGTTCCCTAGCGTATCGAGCAGACAAGCCCGTAAGGCCTCTACTATATGGACGTCGCCGAGTCCAATCGGCGCGCGTTCTGGTTAGGTTGGTAAAGCTTCACCTAACCATGTGCTTTCGCGCCATTCGGGCGCGTGAGGCGGGCGGCGGCGCTCTGCAGCGCAAGGGCTCGGATATAGAGCAATTGTAAACCTACAAAGCTGCGAAGAATTGACATCGTGAATAAAATAATAGAGATTCTGCCGAATGACAGACTGAGCGCCGCTCAGTAATCAACAACTTACACGTTCATTCCGGTTTCCCTTTTAATACTATTTATAAACCTATAACATCAAAATCAAAAATATAGAAATAGATTTTGGAAGATTATTGATTAAAGCATTCTGCAGTTTTCTTGACCGAAATTCCGCTGTTTTGACTGACTTTTTGACCAGTGACCAATCAGTGCAGTCAGTGAGAGTGACAAAAGTGGCCATCAAGCACAAGGTACTGGAATTCCAGTATGCGTGGAGAAAACTTTGAGGCAATGAAAATTTCGAATATGAATGACCATTTAGCAAGTTCACTGTTACCTGGGGACCTCAGGCTATTATGTTCCTAATAGAGATTCGGCGGAATGACAGGCTGAGCGCGGCCCAGTAAGTTCACTGAGGATGGCGCGAAACATAATTGTGGTACTGCAAGTTCTGTCTCAAATAAATCTTTGATAAACGGAAAATCATCAAAATGTAAAAAGAGAATTTGGAAGAGTTTTAAAAAAAGCTTTTCTGCCGTCTTTTTGACTGAAATTTCGCCGTTTTGACTCAATTTTTGATCAGTAGTTCAGTGACCAATCATTGAAATCGGTGAGAGTGACACAAGTTGCCATCAAGGCATAGCAAGGTACTGTTACCAGTATATCCAATATCCGGAGAAAACTTTGATGCGATGAAAATTTGAATATGTCCTACTGGTAGGACATTTTAAAACTTTAGCTTTCTGTTACTGGCAGGCGGCGCTCAGCCTGTCATTCCGACGAATTTCTATTCTATGTTTATGAACATTATAGGGGTTGCATGGCAGTGGGTCTTCACCTATTGAAATGCTCTTAGTAGCCAGGAATTTTCAAAAAATATAGAGCTTATAAATGAATTTTATTATATTACTTTATTGGATAGATTCTTTAATTTGTTACTTTTTTTCATTAATTGTCATCATCATAACATGAGTTTTACTTTGCATTTCTCAAAGTTTATTTGTGAGTATATCATGTTTGATAATGGTTTACATATTTTCATTGATACCACATCTGGTCCTAATGTGGTATCAAACAGTAGATGCAGTAAAAGTAGCAGTAAAATGAAGAAAGTCCACAGTTCTTTTCTTCCGGAGAGAGTGAGACCATATTGGAACAAACTCCCCTCGGATGTCAAGAATTGTGGGACTGTGTTAAGTTTTAAAATAAGATTAGAGGCTTTCAAAAAAGAGACTATTTTAAACGGATCTGTAAATGATAGTCATTTTTGGTATGTTTCGGACGAAGTATTAGGAAAGATTGAGGGATTAAATTATGCTACTAATAAAGAGAAGAACAATGAATATCTTGTGTGTAATCCTCATGTTGCTAAAAAACGCTTTATCAACTTATATAGTAGTGGAAAGTATGCAAATTAGATTCATTTTAACTTGGTTGTTTAGGCCAATAGATTTAAGATAATTTTTAAACTTTAGTAGATATATTTTTGATGATGTGTGATGATGTTTGTGTCATTATATTTTGATTTGATTTGAATTGATTTGAATATGAACTAACTGATAAAATCAATGAAGCATCTTTATTCTATAGATTAATATGTCGTTCTTCAACCTGACTCACATGGGTTACGATAGCACTGTTGCTCAGTCCCTAGAGCAGAAAACTGCTGGTGCAGCAGAGGGCTCGCATGTCAAATATGCTGCCCTTAAAACCAAACATACACGCAGTGACAAGGGTAAAGTTCATGTTTCTAGTTCTTGGTATAAAGATTGAAGTTTCTCTGATGAACATGAGAAATAAATGCAAATTATTCAAAATTAGTCTAATAAGAATGGTTTCTTTGAAAGGGATGATATCTAACACATGTTACAGGACCAATAGATTTGCACCGTAATCCAGTGTCAACCTCACAAGACTATGGGTGGTGGCAGAAGGACAGTAAGACGCCACCTGATTGGGCGAGATGTGCCCGACACTCCCACGTCAACAGTGAGATGACCAGGTCAGCAAAATTAATGTCATAAAATCAAAAACACATTAACACAAGTTTACTCATTGTAGTCTGTTTGTCCTCTCTGGGTGCATTTTTGAGTAATAACAAATCGAGAAAGTTATATTAGGAATGATCTTTTTCCGAAACTATCAGTGTAAGTTTTTCCGAAACTATCAGTGTAAGTTTGCCGTCCAACTGATTCCATCAGCATCAGGTCAAAAGCTTTGCTGTATCGACTCTCATGTCGTTTGATTTTTCAACCAAAAGTTTGGAGAAATGCAATTTTGTGAAAAATTATATTTTTACCACGACTTACTGTGTCAGATCTAAAGAAAAAGTTAGCAAAATCGGAAAAATAGACTTGAATTTGTTTATATAATTTATAAAGCGTATGTTATTGCCCACGTTAAGGGGCCTGTTAATAATTAATTAAACTATTTAAGATTTAATAATAATAATAATAAATTGTGATAATTTGTGATTCAGTTTTCAGTATTAGTAATAGGTGTTTGCTGAATTACTGTATTATACACTCTGTGGCCAGCTCTTATGTGTCCCATCTCTTGCCCTGCAAGCCCTGTTTCTTGTTTATACAACATATTATGATTATGTAATAAACATTTATTGTAGTGTAGGATTGTTTGAATTTCTATTTGCTAAGTCATTTAATATGCATTTTGTGTTTGTTTCTCCCGTTTTTCTTCCCTTGTGTTGCAAGCCCTGTCTCTTGTAAAAACAACCACTTTTGTAGATACACACAGTCTCTACGCCTTTATCCTCTGGTCCCTAGGGTCAGCTGACTCCGGGCCAGAGGAAAATTACCGATTGCCAAGGTTTGATGCCTAGGCAGTCGAGACCTCTTATTGAGACCTGATATAATAATAATACTGTGTCATGCAATCACTTTACAACTGATATGCTCTTACAGGTGCCTGAGGTTTCGTTATGTTTGGTTTTACATCTTTTTATTCTGTAAAATGTGCTAAAATTAAATTTCTTGTTTCATTGAAAATTTCTTGTTTCATTGAGTTATGTTCATATTACCACAAAACCGATCAAAATGTCGTAGCCAATCTTTGCACGTGCAAGTTCAACATCGTTACTATGGTTACTATGCAACTTGTATTTGTTTACCTAATTTGCACGTGGGCGGTCGTACATACATGCATACAAAGATAATTCTTTGAATTATAATAATGACTAGAAAGCCCATGGTAACAGGGATGAAGCTAGTAGTATTCTTTGAAAGAAATTTTTAATCGTATCAAAAAATATTCATCCCAACCAAAGATACAGCCGATTTAAATGTTAAACATTTTAAACACAAAGTGATTACCACAAATCTGATCAAAATGCCGTTCCAACAATCTTTTCACGTGCACGTGTGCATTACAACACCGTAGCTATGCAACCTTTTGGTTTTTGCCTAACTTCCTATTTTTCATCTAATTTTCACGTGGGCGGTCGTACATACATAAAAAACAATTCTTTGAATTATGATATAGACTAGAAAGCCCGTGGTCACAGGGAGGAAGCTAATAGTATTCTTTGGTAATCAGTTTTTATAGCATCAACAAATATCCATCATAACCGAAGATACATCCGATTAGAATTTAGCTCTCACTGAACACCACTATATGAAAATCATTTAGGCTGATTGGGTACCCAATTAAGCTGATTGGGTGCCGTATTAACTGTGTGGGAACTAGGTCAAATTGGGTGAAGTTGTCGGTCACCCGATACATCCATACTTTGATTGTCTTATTTGTGACTCTATATACTTGGGTCAATTTCTATTGATCCCGTTTGATGAAATGAAAATTAAATGAAATAAAGCATTTTTATCCCGCTTATATCAACAATCCAAATAAAAAATAAAGATTGCCGATGTCAAAGCGGCTGGCCTCGCGATATAATTCAAAACTAGATACTCAATAATGAATATACTAGTAACAAATATAAAAACCAAAAGTACTTATTTGACATTTTGAAAAAAAATTTTATCACACACGGTATAAAAACTTATGGACGTATATCACTCATTATTATGTATCACTCTCTAAAATCTTGTCCTCACTACAAATATTACCACTTCTGATATAATAATGTTTTTTGTGTCTTCTTTGGCTATCTGTTTCATTTCCAAGACCAACCGCTGATGGATAGCTCGATCTTCAGGTGATCGATCTGGAGATATGAAAACAGTTTTGTGATCTTCACACAGTCTCAATTTTTTGGCATTTACTAATATATTCTGATGAACGGTACTAGAATTACCTAGCGAAACTTTGACTGGTCTCGTCTTGTCGGCTAATTTCCTCCCAACCCGGATAGCTGCAAAACTGCTGAAAAATCACGTCAACTTTATCGCACAGTTTCTCTTCATCAGTCTCCTTCAAACCAAAGATAAGCACATTCCTACTGCGATCCTCTTCCGATACAGCATTCTGTACAACCTTTTTCAAACTCTCTTCTGTAAGCACAGGTGCAGTTTTAGACACAGCTCGACTGTATGACTTTATCTCAGCTTGGACAGTGTCTTGAACGGCGGTCTTGACGGTGGAGTGCACGGATTTCAACTGGTTCGATTTGATTTCCAGAAGTTCAGCCTGCAGCTTGATAACAGTACTTTGCGATCGGATAAGATCGCTCTTCAACTCCTCCATATCTTTCTTGATATCCAGAAACATATTGACATGATTATCGGTAGTCTGATACGCATAATACAAATGTTTGACTAAAACTGCCTTCACTGGCTTTTTGAAAGTTTCATCTGAAAACTCTGATTTATTGTCACAGTTCATAGCTTCCGCGAGTTCAGTAACCCAATCGTTATAGGCCTGACGCTCTTCGGTAATGCAGGTAGAGTAACCTGACAATCTTCGAAGAGTATCCCATTCATCATCATCCATCGTGTACTTGTACTTGTATAAAGTAAAAACACAGTAGTCAGTACCCGCACAATGGCAGTTATAATGTAGCGATAAAATAGAGATAAGAGAGCTAGATTATCAACACGTAACAACAACTGCACATTATAATGCAACATAAAAATTAGCATCAGATAATAGAACGCTGCTCCTTCGTTTTCCGAAGACTGCTTTTACTATCTTATTATATATAAAGCGAGACGATATATATCCGTACCATTTTACTGACACCATGGCATCAACTTTAACACGATTTTCCGCAAAAACCGTAAGAGATATAAAATTAAAACTAAAACTTTTTTGACTGGGTCAAATGTCTTAAACTTAATGGCCTTCAAATCAGCATGAAAAAATAAAAAATTTGCCAAGAAATAAAAATTTTAGTGCCCAAAATTTGGACCCCAAGTGGTGTCAAAAATGCGAATTAAATAAGTAATAATTTATTTAGTCTCTTAAGCCTTGACACCACTTAAGGGTTAGACGGGTTCCTGCTAGTTGTTTTAGATTATCATGCCTTCACTTCAGTCAAACAATACTTCTGGCTTAAGACTTAAGAGTTGTAAGATTGGATTAGAAATAGATGTATCTATTTCTATTTTATAAACGACTTCAAGAATTCGTATTGTGTAACCTATGCTAGGTCTTTTTAGGACAGAAGGGCAACCACACAGATTCGGTCCAGTTCTCATCACCTTCGAATTGAAAGGGGGAGATATGACAAAACTCCAATTGATGAAAGGACCTGCAACTATTGCGAGCTTAACACCAACCAGCTATTCATCGAGGATGAGAATCATATGCTCCATTTCTGCCCCCTAGGGAAAGGTCCTAGGGACAAATTTCAAAATCTCAGTGGAAACCTACTCAACAATGTTGGTAATGGTAGCTTCAATCTTGCCTCCACGTTCATGTCGCAGTCTGATTGCAAGGATACTCCCAGTGATGAGGACGTAAGTTTGATCAAACTCTCAACCAGCACCATTAACCAGATCTACAGACTAACCCTCAACTTCAAAGACAGTCTGAAAGCAGATAATTAGTTTCCTTTCTCAGTTTTCTTTTTTTGTATTCTCTCTTCTTTTTTCCTCTCCTCCCTTTTTTCTTCCCAGCTTTGAATCTGTGATGGATGTGATGGAAGGCTTGCGTTCACTTTTATCCCTACATGGGCTCCCGGCCGTGTGTCCATGTAGGAGCTGTGGGGCCTTCCGAGTGATAGGGTTACAGTGACTGCTAGTAGAGAAAATATGAAGGTTCCACCAGTAGACATAAATATCGAAAGCAGGGCATTGGCTCGACCTCCGAGGCGGGGTATCCGTGAGGACCCTGGTCGTAATCAGCTCTGCACTGTTTCAGTGTATCCTGATGCCTGAAATCTCGGACACTGCCTACGTACGGGGTAGACAGCCACGGATGATTTTGTCTGTGAGCTTTTCATCACTTCCTGACATGAGCCAGACCTCAGCTGGATCCTTCCTTTTCCTTTTTCTTTATTTCCCGTTCAGTCTACCTCTTCATCATCAGCTTGAGTTGCTTCGCCTTGCATTCGAACTTTGCCTCCACAGTTCACCACGGCACCTCTTTTGGATGCCTCCTGCCGGGCAACACTAGCTCTCAGACACTGGCTAACTTACCGCGCACGGTTTAGTTTCTGTGTCTTTTCTGTGGCCGTGTATTCCGTTTTATGCCACCCTCTCTGCCGTTCTCGCGCTTGCGCTCACCCACTCCTCAGTGGGCTGTTCATTTGACAGAGTTACTGGCTGGCACTCCCATCATCTTCTCACTCACCATCACTGCCCAATCAAATTTATGCAATCAAAATCACTATGCACCCATAATCATATGATCAAAACACAAAGCTTTGAAATATACTTTTTTCTGTTTGAGATTTGAATAACGTTACTGTAATGTTCCAAATTATATTTTAAATGTTCAAATGTTCAAATGAAATTTGAATAAAGCTTATTTTCATTGTTTTTGATTGTTCACTAAATTCAGTGTTCAATCTTAAAGCTGAGCCGTGACGTATTTGTTTTTCAGTAGAAAACATGACTCTACCAACATTTTATCACACATCTTCAC